AAAGTATCAAATTGAATTTTTGTTCAATAAAAATCTTTCAAATGCAACTGTAGCTTTTTTTCCCCCCCAAAACTTTGTCTTCAAAATAAGGGTGCGTCTTATATTCCAAAAAATACGGTAAATGTTTACAATGATGAACAAATAGTATCAAAAGTGTAAATAATTCTTGTACAATTTCAACTTACCTGAAGTGGTATGAAAGGATTTACACTTGATGACTGACTAATTGTTTGGAGAGTCTTCTTTTGAAACTGGCCACCAGTGTCTCCTACTTTTCGCTTACTTTTCCAATCACTTTTTTTCTCATCAGCATACTGTAAAAATGTTCCATCATTGCCACTCTTACCCTGCCATGAAAGTGGCATGCTTGAGTTCTGTGAAAAGTTTGGATATTGTTGTTGTTGATTATGCCAAGACCTGCTGTCCTGACTTCTACTATATTGTGACTGGAGCTGAAGGGTCTGTTTTCTATGTTCATTGACAAATGAATCTGGGATAAATGTAATAGGTGGTGGAGGTGGATGACGCTGAATTACTAAATCATGAGATTTCTGTGAAAACTGTGGACCAGAAGCAGATGGAGAGAATGCTGGAAGTGGAGGTGGGCCTGTTATTAATGAATAGAGAGTAAAAGTTCTTAGAATTAAGAATTCAAAACATTTTCTGTATATATTATTTTATACTTTCCAATAAGCTTACTTAATATAATATCTCTAGAAAGATATCAATTTAAATATGGTAAAAAGTATTTATTAAAGCATTTTTTTTTTAATTATTAAAATACTGATATAATCAATATTAACTTCTGATCAAAACAAACTACCAACTTAGATCAAAATATAAAATCAACCTAGTAATGAGTATAGCTAATTAAACATATTGTTCTTATTAAGTTTATAATGCACTGTATTAACACTAGGGTTTTCTCACTCCTATCAATATTTCTTGCCATAAACACAATAACATCTTGTTAACAATGCAAAATAATATCCAAAATAAAAATATAATAATGAAAAACATAAAAACAGATGTATTAAGCATTCTAACCAATACTGTTATGGAAAGTAATATTAAACGAAAAACAGGTTATACCTTACTTACTGAACACATTAACATTAGTTGTTTGCTTAATGTACTGTTGTAGGTTTAATGTCTGTTGAAGAATTTAACATCCCTATAAACTAAACTTTACACAGTTCACCCTAGCAGCATTTTCTGACCATTGAAACATGTTAAACATGTTTGAGTAACTTAACATCGAAAATAAATTACTATTATACATTGCTGATCAAACATTACCATTTAACTATAGAATGGGGTAGCAGGACAGTACAAACAGCACAGCAAAAACTAATGCACATGAAGATACAAAGTAATACAAAAATAAATAAATTAAAAGAATAACTGAACAATAAAATCAATATTCTTGATACTCTAATAAAAATATAACAAAGTTAAATGTAACAAAAAGAAAAAATAATATACTACACATACTGTAAGACATGTCTAACACAACTAATATAACTAACTAACTTCTGTCCCTACACAAGACAGAGAGAGCAGGAAATAGAAACTAATAAATAAAGTTAAACCTCACTAATAGCCAAAATTTAAATACAATAAGATTCAATGAAGCTCAGTAATAATACTTAGAAAAGTAAGTAACAACAATAGTAAATAGGACAATTAAAGTAATTAACAAAAAGTAATGTAACTTGATGGTAGTTCTAATGACAGAAGGTTCTCTTACCATACAAACTTCTTTTGTATAAAATATTTTCAGCACTAAAGATATTGCAGAGTAAAGTTCAACTGAACAAACTATTCTTTATACTGTTAGTACAAAGTTAACTTCACAAGCAGCCTGCTAAGGTATGTGTGTGCCTTACAACTTCATACATCTATCTGACTTTACCTTAATCTAGTCTTTATTTTTTCTGTTTATCCAAATTTTAGTCACAGATTTTGTGTGTTGATTTAAGATGTCTATTTAAAAGATTTTAAAACACTTATAAAACAAAAGACCCACTGTAAGAAAATGTTATTCTAATAATAAGAAAGTATTAATGAGTCATAAGGAACAGGACTACAACAAAATACAGTTGCTAAGCTTCATGCTATTTCAAATGATTCATACTTCACTTTTTGTATTATTTGCAAGTTTTCTGGATTTTACTCTTTAGTGATTCATTTTACATGCAGCAGGTGATTCTGCATAACTGATTTTATATGATGAATGTGTCCATGTTCTCTTTAACATGGATTTCATAGAACCCTACTTGTGCAGGCATGATGCATGACACACTTGGAACATGAAGAAAGTATAATATATGGCATTATTTGCCAAATGTTGAAAATCCAATGCAAAAAACAGTCAAAATAAAAATAAAAAATGCAAAGAACAGTTTGTCATGAATGGGTTACATGAGTGCTCTGGTAGTTTAAGAAGACAGCTTCCAAGATCACCACCAGTACCAATGAAGCCAAAGTAAACTATTAAATTATTTATTATTTGGTCTGGTAAAGCTATCTTAGCCCTGGCAAGATTTCGAAGTAACAGGAATGGCAGTCAGGCAGAGAAAAATACCAATTTCAAGCCCTGCTGTTAGTGTCAAACCATTCTTACACCATTGTACAAGTATAAAGACAATCAACTGTACCAGTCTTTAATACAGTTTGTGCCAAACCAAGCTTACACTCCACAACATACAAGTGTGAAAATAATCAGCATTTCACTATGTGATACTGTTAGTGCCAAACCTTTCTACATTCTACAATGTACAAATGTGAAGACAACCACTTGTTCCAGTCTGTGATACTATTAATGTCAAATCATTCTTTCATTATACAATGTACATATGAGAAGACAACCGGTATTTCCAATATCTTTGTTGTTACTATTACATCACTTTTACATTTCATCCTTACTCTTACTATTTTATAATAGCATTAACATTTATATAAAAAGCTGAGAAGAAAGAAGAAGAACTGAATATAATAATGCATTATATTCATCTCACTGCAGGTCCAGTTAACAGATGATATACATCCTGATAAATATATTTTGACTGAAAGTGGCAAATTCTTGAATTATTTTATTACTACAACATATTCAACAGGGAAGGTTTTTGCTAAAAGTTACAGAATCCTAATTTACAGAATTATTAACAATAAAATCTCAACAGTACACATGGGATTAAAATTTAAAATATTAAACCTTAATACAATATAACAAGTCAATGAAAGATGGTTAGATACATGTATCAAATGCAAGAAAAATAGTAGAATTAAGATGGAAGATTTGTAAGATCTAAACTTTATATAAGCCTAATTATTAAAAGAAAAAAAACAACTTGTATACATAAAATTATTGAGCAATTTACAAGTTCATTACAGTATAAAACCATTTATAATGTGCAACAAGTTAATCATTTTTACTTCTAGATATACAGAAATTACAGCACCAACCTCCTAGGTGCATTGGATGAAGCTGGGTTCTTACTGTTGTTACTAATCCTGGAGAGGGAGGCAAAGCAGGTTTTTCTTGATTTCTCATCTTGTTCTAATGAATTCAGTGGATAATTTAAAAGCCTTGAAGTTTGAACAGCAATAATCTACTTCAATGATGTACTGGTATATTTTAATACTTAATCATGTAACTCCATCCCTGAACAAAAATTTTAATATTAATGACTACAATATAAAATGTGGGATACAAGTTTGGTTTACATTCGTAATTTTGAATTGATAGACTAGTGGGAGGGCAGCTAGTCAACAGCACCAGGTACAAATCTAGAAGAGGGGTCCAGAGGGTCTCAACTCCTCCATTAAAAAAATAATATATTAATAAAACAAATACAGACATTCTTACCTCACCATATAGCGTCAAAAAGAAACATAAAATGTAATTGCTTTTTTCATTTGATTGGTCTATTAATTACCAAGAAAGCTTTTTTTTTTTTTCAGTTTTTGAAGTCAACACAGCTGGTGTCTACAAAAGTCTGGTTACAGCCTCAGTCAATAACTGATTATTTCTAAGCTAATACAACAATATGAATATCAATCCAACATTGCCATAATAAATTTTCATGCTTTGGCTTTTTGCAAACATTCTAACAGTGTATTTAGACTTTTAGAGATTTAAATATAGTAGAGATGGCTGATATGGGTATTGAAAACTTTTACTTGAAAAGTACAAAACAAGTAACAACATTTCGACCACCTTAGGTCATCATCAGGTTAAGAGATTTATTTTCATCAAAGTCAGTATTGCTTAAGACACCTGCAGCTCTTATAGCATATACTTGTTACAGAATCAATTGTCCATTGTTTAGAAGTTAGGATTGTGAGATAGAGGTCTTTGGTATTGTTGATGCCCAAAATAAGCAAAAATGTAAATTGTATGACTGTATATGTAGTGACTTTCAAAAAAAATTTTAAAACAGGCATCCTGTATATAAATACTAAAATATGATTTTAAGTATACATCTTAAAATTATTTTTTCTAAGTTTAGTTATAAATAATCATCTAATTTTAATTTAAAAAATTTTAATGTTTGGTTTTAACTGTTCTTATTTTTATTCACATTACTAGAAATAAAGACGTAAGCTTTGAAACCACTGGGTAATAGCCACAATGAGCCAATCATAATAATCTTTGTAAGCTTTATAATTAATTAATTTTATTATCAAAATTACTAGTAGTGTAAAGTTATAGGTAAACAGTGAAAGTAATAATAATTCATAACTAGGTCTAGTTGGACCCCACCCCAAACAAAATCCCAAATCCACCCTTGAGCATCTAATGCCAACTCTTGAGCTACTCTTGTCTGATCAACTAGTATACTTTAACAATCACTGTTATAATGTATCTCTGGCCCCAAAGTGTAGATCAAGCCACACACCCTGAAATTCACAGTCCAGCCAGATCCTGCATAAAATTATACTTGTTGGAATGCTAATAAACTATTAATTTATTTATCAAAAAAAAGTTCATATTTTTGAGGAGAGAAAAACAGGCCAAATTGAATGTGGCTATTTTGATGCTAATTTTACGTATTTTAAGAAGTTGATTTGAGTGAAGAAACAGCAACTTCTGAAATTTGGTCCTCATAAATGTACAGTGAATATCTTGAAAATGTACAAAGCATCATGTTGAATATTCTTGTCTCAAAAGTTGCTGTACCAAAATAAGCAGAGACTGGCGTCTCATTTTAATTTTTCTACTATATGTTCATAATTACAAAAAAAAGTGCCTACATATTTTTTAATAAAATTGAAAAGGTTTATGGATTTTGGAACTGTCCATAGATTGATAAAAGAAAGCATTAATATTATCCTTATTAAATATCATTTTTTTCAATTGTGTGGAAAAGGTCAGTTGTGAAAATTAAAGCAAAATAAATTATTCAAACCAAAATCTAGATCTTAAATCAACTAAAATCCCCAAATTCTTAACTTTTTTAGCAAAGTGACAAATTTCATACGAACAGAACTTATTCTATTTTTTGATAAAATATATCCTAGTAATTTACTAGCATTCTTATTATAGTGTGAAGAAATGTGATTCTAAAATATTTCGTCAATAAACTTAAAAACTTTTCCCCTGATTACATTATAAATGTTGCACCTACTCTAAAATGATAAAGTAAGAACATAGCATCATACAAATCATATAAAAATATGATCTGAATCTGTGTGTATATGGTCATTATATCTTTCATATATCATCTTGTTACTCTTTTACCAAAACAATTAGAATAATAATTAGAAAATTAAATATTTTAGATGGTGAATACACAGAAAATAACACACTAGGTACACAATTGCCTCCTCTGCAGCACTTTCTGAAGCCTCATGTTGAGTAGCAGCTGGTGTACTGAAAAATTGCAGTCCACTGGGGAGAATGACCACAGCTTGGCAAAGTTGCTAGACATAAAGAAACATAATGGCTAAGTCATCATTTCGTATTACTGTTTTACACAATGTTTCATGTGTCAAATCAAACACAAGTTAGTTATTTTAACAACTTTTTTATCTTCTCTTTAATTTGCAGCTCAGAAGATAAATATCTAAAAACTTTGAGCTACAAACTACTTGTCCTGAAAACCTAAAAATTTCCATATAAATGGAAGAAGGAAAGGAATAAACTTTTAGTAAGTATACAGAGTGAGAGGAAAGGAAGCATTTTTAACTTGTATGCCATTAACCAGATTACTACGAGCGACTAACTTTCTGTGTAGCCAATGCAAGTCTTGCTATATTTCATTCCAACAATAAAACTACAGGATGAAATTGTTTCATAAATGCACATTGTTTAAGAAACATAAAGCCTGTTACTTTTGATAAATTTAGTTATATTGCATTATCATCTTTAATATCTTGGAAAATTACATTAGGAAATGGTATTTATACGAAATGATTATTATATTTATATTTGTTCCAGATTTGAACTTATTACTTTTTATGTTTTAGTACATTATTTTAAAATCTCTAAAAACTTTTAATCATCCATTAAATGCAAATTTTGTCTATTTTTAATTTTTTAATAATCACTTACTCTCCTTATGGTTTCTAGTAATATACAAGACCTGAAAATAATATTTCCAAGTAAACCTAAACAAATATTTTTTATCTTTAACTAGGATTTCATGTTTACATAAAAAAACATTTTAAATTTGTTTTATAAATGTATTTTTATTTCAATTTTATGTTTCATTGCAGCCATACTTTTGTTTATTGTGGCAAAAAAAAAGTGAGGTTAGCAGCGTGAACTTTGTACATTTGCCATAAACTATCACACCTGTTGGTGGTCACTCTCATTCAGTCCAATGCAGGCACATTTGAACATTACTGTAGATATGATAGCAAGAAATGTTTTCAGTACTTGAATATAATTTCTTTGAACTTCCAAACAAGTTTATTTCAATGTACGTCCTTGT